AGCCACTCATTGGACCAGAGTCCTAGCTATTAACTAATTTTTCAAGAGTACATGACAGAAGATTAAACAGTGGATGAAAACTTTCATTCGTGGTCCATACGTTATGCAAGATCTTATACAGATAGGTTTCCTATTATCACAGGGTTCACTAATGTAAGAATCAGTGACTAATCTTTGGACGAAGGTTTGGCCCAAGAATTTCCAGAATAGTGACTCTGGCTGGACTTTTGACAAAGGATTTCTTCAGCGGTTTACATTGCACTCCAGCTCCTATATAGGCACTTTTCTGCAGGGTGAAGGCATTCTCTTTCCACTCCCATCCTTTGACACACATTTTAAAGGAGAAAAAAGAAAAAGGAAGTCATTGTCGTCATCATCATCATCATCTTTATTTATACCCTGCCTTTCCGCCTAAAACTGGAACTCAAGGCAGTTTGCAAATTACAATGATTAAAACATAAAGAGAGTGAGCACAATGTCATGTTAACTGATTTTAACTCCGACAGTGTACTCAGAAAGGAAAAGGTCTTTAAACTAAAAACCATGGTCTATAGTTTGGAGATAGCAATCAAGTCTTTATAATCTGAGGAAATGCAGTTCCTGATTTCTGATACAGGAATTATCAATTAAAAATGTTCAGGAAATATTTTCATTGTTTCCTCTGTGAAGAAATGTGGTGAACACCGAGTTTAAAAAAATGATTTAGATTTTTGGAACAGGGCACAGCTTACATAATCTTTCCCAAAGATAAGCAGTAGCATCATGCACTGGTTTTGAATTGGTCCCTCCATGGTTATAGAGGAACCCAACTGGATAATATCAGCAGGCTCAGAGGAAAGCCATCACAATGGCTCTCTAATATCTCAGCTTGCCAGACCATGTAATAGAGATCTCAGCAGCAACTCCACTTACACTCACCTCTTGAGTCATTGCTAATGAAACACCAGAGAGGCAGAAGCAGTGATAAATGTCATTTTATCTTTAAAGAGTAAAGGATCCCTAGTTTCATTATAAAATGTGCAGGAGATCTACAAGTGGCAACAACCCACAAATCAAGTAAGATAGTAGAATATATGATTGATTCTGAGATTGCATATAAATCTATTATTCAAAGCTCACATATTGAAGAACCTGACATGACTGAAGGTGACGTAATAGGTGCAATTACACTCATTTTGAGAATTATTAAATCACTCTGCAGGTTGTTACAAAGTAATCTAATCATCTTTTTGAAAGAAGACTGACTCATCCTTTGCCCTCTTA